CCCCAACACTGACACCCTCTTCCACTCCCCCCACCAAATTGCTGGGCGAAAGCCCAGAAAACAAGCCAACAGTGTGGAGCTCTGCCCAAGGCAGCCCCTCCTCACCTCAGCCGGGGGGGGCGGGGAAGAGGGCAAAGGGAGACTGGAGGATCTCTCGCGCATGGGGACCCTCACACGCAGGGCAAGCCCAGAGAGGACAGTGCAGCCCAGCGTGCTCACTGCACATGTCGTTAGTGCTGGCACACGGTAAGAGCCCTGCTCCAGACAGAGAGGGGGAGAGACCTCCGCTGCGCACCCTGTCCTGGGAGAGAAGTCAAGCGTTGAGCACGTGCCTGCAGCAGTCAGGGCCTGTGATTCGGTTTGTTCTGTGTCATGCCCTGCCTACTGGGAGAACACTCCCCCCAGCTTGCCGAAAGCCAGAGAACTGTGGCTGGTCAGGTGAGGAGAGCAGAGGTACAACAGGGCAGGCATTGTCTCTGCAGGCAGACCCAAACAACAGGCGTTTCTGGACTCTCAGGGGGAAAGGTACGCAGAGAAACAATTGTGCTCTCAGCACACACAGAAAAACACAAGGGGTGTTCTGTTCTCTGCTGACATTCTTTCCATTTGTCATTTATAAGCTTTGATCCAACCCATGCAGCCCTGCTGCCTGAGAAAGCCTCTTTTACAGCCATCGGGGAAACAAAAGCAGTTAAAAAAAAAGACACGAGATACATCTGCTTTCTTTAGCCATGATCCCCGGACAACTGGTACTAAAAGGCTCTTCACACCAAGAACAATGAAGCATTCAGATCTCGAGCAGAGGAGGCGAGTCAGAGAAATCCGTAGTGTAAAAGTCACGTGAGCAGTCAGCATGTTTGTTGTGGCAGGTCTCACTTGGCTAGCTTGTTACTTCACAAACCCACAAATCTAAAATCTTTTAAAAGCAGGAGATGGGAGGAGACAGCTGGCTGCAACCCCCACATGTGCACTGAGTGCAGCCACGGCCCGTTAGCAGCCGTGCGCCAAGCGTGGATTCCGAAAAGGCGGTTACCTGTGTTTTGTAACTGCTGTTCTTTGAGGTGTGTCGCTCATGTGCACAGTCCCTGGGCTGGCCAGGAAGCCCCCAGTGGCTCCTTTATGGAGTGTACATAGGCCCCTGTTGACCCAGCCCCTACCCAATTCTTTCTTCCCAGAACCAGTGGGACCTCGCGCAGAAGGGACGGGGCTTTGGGAACCCAGCCCTCAGTGCGGCCCGGACTGCGGCACCTGCCCGCCCCCCACAGCCCTCAGAAGCTCACCCTGGCATCAATTCCAAATGGGCCCCAGGCCCCTTGCATGTGTCCTGAACAGGGATGCGGTGGGGCCAGCCGCTGCCTTGCAGGAGGAGGTGCATGGGAAATGGAAGCTGCCAATGCTGTCCCGGAACTGTGGGCCCAAGGTGTCCAAAAGGGCCATTGCACTGGGCTCTGCCACAGGGGTGCCCAGGGCACCATCGGTACAAAGGTTCCTCCACTCTATGGTGCCAAGTCCAGTGCCGGGCTCTCAAGCAGTACCAGTGGCAGCAGGACTCAGACCCCCTCCCCAAACTTGGAGCAACACTCTGAGCCGGACCCGGTGTGACGTAGTGGGGGTACCTGGCTGGTTTCTATGCTGCTGGCTCTGGGGGATCCCCCACTGGCTGCCGTGGGTACCACGACCCAGCAAAACAGGATGAGTCACTATGCAAACCAGTGGCCAGACACCCCCCATGGAGAGGGACAAAGGAAGGTGGAATGCTGCCTTGGCTGGGGGGCAGGGCTGGAAGTGAGGGAGTTGGTTGCTGGCTGTCGGAGGGCATGGAGGAGAGCCTAGGAGAAGGAGCTGGAGTTTAGGGGCCCAGTCTCCCCCATCTCAAGGGGGCCTGAGGCATCCTAGCCCAGTTCCTGTGACCAGATTACATCTGTGCTGCGCTGTGCTGGAGGAGCAATAAACCACCCTCAATTCCACTGGCTGGTGCAGTCTGTTTGTGCCATTTCGGGGTGCAGGAGACGGGGAACCCCCAACGCGCCGTCACACCCGGGACCCCAGCAATCGGTACCAAGGCAGCAGGGAATGGTGCTGCATCACGGGGGCCTTGCTCTGGTGCGGTATAGGTGGTGCCAGAAGTGGTGCCTACGACAGAGGCCGGGAACTGAGCCATCATGGCAATCAAGTCCCATGCGGCCGTGCTAGTGTCTAATGTAGAGGGAAGCTTGAGGTCCTTCTCCAACACCTCCCGGACCAGGGAGCGCACCCACCCACCCAGGAATGGACATGAGCAATCACCTGAACGGCTCAAACCAGTGCATGTCTGTGGGAGGGAGCGTCCGTCTCCAGATGCACACGCGCACACACACCAGCACAGAGATGATCTTACAGGAGGCACAAAGGTAACTCCCCTTCATGCTCCTGTCCACGTGCCAGGAATTGTAGTGATGACTACGTCCCATGGATCAGCAACTGTCTGCCATGAACAGCTTTATTAATGAACTAGAAAATGTTGCAGTGAGCATGCTGAATTTCAGGAGCAATACTAGATGGAGAGGAGTCATTAATATCAGGAAGGGCAGAAATACAGAGTGACCTAGAGAACAGAAGTGATTTACAGCTTGGAAAGATGTGCTCGATACACGTGGGGAAATAGCCTAGTACACAGCTGTCCAACAGGAAGGAGGAAAGATGGAATCAATACTGCGCGAGACTCCCAAGGCGAAGACAGAAGTAGGCCGAATGACTCGTAAATATTTCAAACCTGTGAACTGCGCACATGCAGCAGAACGTTTCTGGTGCACTTGTTTCAGTATCCACCTGTAACTCAGTATGCAAACAGAGAGCTAGTTCAGGACACAGGTGGGTAAGAGTTAAACACAAAACCTGAGAACTTTCAGTTTTGGATTCCTTGTGTGTCATCTCAAATGTGCACCCAGGCAATTTTTGCAGTTAACAGATCCATCATTTTGACTATCCTTGCTCATTTCATTTACATCACAGTTGGAATTGGGTGGATTTCCCCCCTAGCTTTTATTGGCAGAGAGAGTTTTGTTTTTTGCTTCTCTCAGGGCAATTAAATATCATTCACTGGGAGCACAGACAGGTGCCATTCAGTTTTCTGAATCTGAAATGGAACCATGGGCCTTCCCTTAATCATAAGCTCGGTTTCCATGAAAGAGTCAGAAACCCTTGCCTAGATTCTGCATCGATTAGAGCTATGAACCACTACAGACTGAGCACACGGCCAATGAAAACAGAAGGCCATCTTTCTACTGTACAGATGCAAGACCCTGATACCAGTTTTCAACAGAAAGCTCGTCTTCACCCAATTCCTTCAGTCCAGTTTTCTAACCCTTATTTTTTTGTTCTCCTCTAGATTCTCCCCAATTTATCAACATCTTTACTGAAGAGCGGGGCCCCCAAACTGGACAAAATACTCCAGTTGAGGCCTTACCAGCAACAAACAGAGCAGGACAGTTACATACAAGACTCCTGTTATTCCACCCCAGAACTACATTCGTCTTTTTTTGCAACCACAGCATATTCAATTTGTGAGCCGCTATAACCCTCAAATCCTTTCCCACAGTGCTACTGCCTCCATCATTCCCCAGCTGTGTGTTTCATTTTTCCTTCTTCAGTGAAGTACTCTGCTCTTCTCTTTCCTGGATTTCATCTTGTTCACTTCAGACAAGTTCTTCCATTTGAATTCTACTCCTGTCCTCCAAAGCTCTTGTAACTGCTGACAGCTTGGTGCCATCTGAAATTTTATAAGCACATGTTCCCTTCTGTTACCCAAGTCATTCATGAAAACATTGACTAGTACCAGACAAGAGACTGGAGACGCCTACGTGACCCCACTGGATACATCCTCCAAGTGTGACACCAAACCACCGAGAACTACTCTGAACATGGTTTTTCAACAAGCCGTGAGAGTCAGTTTATCTAGACCGGTGTTTCTTACCCTATGTCCTGCGGAACACTGGTGTTCTGTGAACAACTCGCAGGTGTGCCGCCACCTCTTCTTTGGTTTTGTCTTTTTTTGTCTGACAATTTTTTTTTTTTTTGAAGAAAATTTTCATAAGTGTTCTGCATAAAAAACTATTATTGTTTGGTGTTCCATGGTCTCAGTGTAACAACGCTGGTCTAGCCCACATTTCCATGGTTTGCTCATGAGAATGCCATGGTGGCCTGCCTCAAATGCTCTGAAAACATCCACTCAGTGTGCAGTGGCAGTCAAAAAAGCAAATAGAATGTTAGGAATAATTTAAAAAAGGAATAGCGAATAAGACAAAGAACTTATTACCTCTATAAAACCATGGCACGCCCACATCTTGAGTACTGCGTACAGATGTGGTCACCTCATCTCAAAAAGGATATGTTGGCATTGGAAAAGGTTCAGAAAAGGGAAATAAAAGTGATGGGGTTTTGGAACAGGTCCCATATGAAGAGAGATTAAAAAGACGAACTTTTCAGCTTGGAGGAGACTAAGGGGGGGGGATAGGATGTGGAAAAAGTGAATAAGGAAAAGTTATATACTTATTCCCACAATATAGGAACTAGGGGTCACCAAATTAAATAGGCAGAAGACTTAAAACAAACAAAAGGAAGTTTTTCTTCACTCAGTGCACAGTCAACCTGTGGAACTCCTTGCCAGAGGTTGCGGTGAAGGCTAGGACTTTAACAGGGCTCAAAAAAGAGCTAGGTCGATTCCTGGAGGTTATCAATGGCTATTAGCTAGGGTGGGTAGGAATGGAATCCCTAGCCTCTGTCTGGAGGTGGGTGACGGGAGGGATCACGTGAGGATTACCTGTTGTGTTCTCTCCCTCTGCGGCATCTGGTATTGGCCGCTGTGGGCAGACAGGACACTGGGCTAGATGGACCTTTGGTCTGACCCAGTCTGGCTGCTCTTATGTTCTTATTCCTTCTCATGTTTAGGCAATTAAAATGCTCCTTGTTGAGCCATCCTATCATTTTTGCTATCTTTCCTTAGCGTCAGAGCAGTTTTTTATTGTGCTTTCAACACCATCTTGAAAACGCTACCACTTCTCTGGAACGCCTCTTTCCACCCTCAGATTTTCTTGCCAGAACCTCTCCACCTAGTCCTGAGTTTGCACACGACTGCTTTTTTGAAGTCCCTTTTCTTCTGTGGTCCCTCTTTCCTGTCCTTGGAATCATGAAGCCTTATTTCATGTTCCCTACTTGCCTTTCACCTTCAGATTCACAACTAATTCCTCCCAGTTAGACTGGATTAAGCATACAGTTCCCTTCTACACCTTCTGGAAGGAGAAAGAAAAATATGCCTCTTTCAATGAAATTGGCTCACTGAATTAAAAGTCTTTCTCCATGGGGAGCACAATAATTGCCCCAAGACTTTCCTCTCACAGATTTTTGACCAACAGGAAGGAAACAATTAAAAATTAAAGACCTGCATTTTAATTAAACCCCATGAAACTTGAATGTGGATGGAAGAACCAGCTGCTAGATCCAGTGAGCCTGGCTCTAGCAGGGTACTCTAATGAATCGGATTCCCCCTGAGCTACAGAAACAGGACGCTGGGTCCAGATACTCAGACCACAGGTTTAAAGGGAATCCTGAAGGCCAATAAGCTCTTGCATCTACAGAGGGAGTCCTCCCTAGAATCTTAGGACAAAAGTTACACGTCTCTGACCCCCTCAACAAGCTGCACATTTCAACCAGTGGACGTGGCTTTCAGGGAGTCTGTTTCAAGGTGGTTATTGTAGAAATGTATTGGAGATGCTCAGATGAGGGGTTAATGTATTGTACTGAGGTTTTACATGGCCACCCAAAACAAGCCCTGTCTGTATACAAAGTATTCCTTGGACACAATGAGAACCTTTGTGCTCTCAGAGATTTGCATAAATCTGTAGCTCCACTTCTGCTTTGGTCATTCAGTTCTATCCTGGGACGTGTAAGGTTACAAAGCAGTTTTCCAGGATAAGCCTAGTTCCACGCGACTTACCGAAGGTTTCACTTTTGGGGCTCACCTATTGCACACTTAGTGAAACTGACAAAAATCATTTGGACCCATTTAAGGGAGAAGAGGAGCAAGGACAACAGTTTTACACTTGTAGCAGAGTTCAAGTCTATGAAGTACGTGTCTAAGGAACGAATTGCTGCACCTACGTATCCGCAGTCAAGTAGCAGTTAGGACTCCTAACTGGGCATGTAAAAGCACAGCCATGCAGTTGGTTAACCTGGGGTGGGGAACCAAAGGACCAGGGGCCGGATGCAGCCCACAGCTTGCCTTGATCCGGCCCGCAAGGCTCAGAGCTGCTCCCCAGCAATAGCTGGAGCTCCACCCCCGCCCCAGGGCCGGCGCACACAAAATCTACTAGCCTGGGCCTCCCAAGGCTCTGGTGTGTCTGTCTCCTCCTCACTCGGGGGCCACCTGAGAGAGGGTTTGGTTTTTCTTTTTCGCTTCTCACATGCGTGCAGCCTCTGACTGATTTTCCTGGGGCTCAGCGGCCCGACCCAAAAAAGGCTCCTCACCCCGGGCTTATCTGTCATCGTTTACAGTTACATGCAAGCGCCTGCCCTGCTCCCGGGGAGCCAGCTACCACCCCCACTGCTGGCTCTGTCAGTCCTGGGCCTCCCTTCCCGCTCGCCCAGCGAAGCTTGGTTCTGCTCAGTGTAGTACAAGTCTGTCTGTTCCAAAATCTGCATGGGTGGACAGAACAAGTGCAGAAGTGCTGAGGGGAAGCGCTAGTTTTGGTGGGATACTCAATTTAAGTTCTTTGGGTCAATGAATTTGCATCCATATTTTTAAAAATGGGATTGTACATGTCCCCAGAGCCTGGGATACACACATTTCTACAGCCTCAATAGTGACAGGTAACCAAGCGATGATCAGCTGTGAAAAGATAAGCTTAGCAGCTTTGGTCCAACACAGTTGGTAGAAATGAAGGGGAACACTTCCTGGGCTCTGGATGCCTCAGTCTGCGATGGTCGGGCTCCAGTAGCTTTAGCCAAGGAAGGTAACACATTCAGGAGGCAGCAAGCCAAGCCGTTCCACCTCGCACAATTTACAGCTCCAAGAGAAATGCCAGTGGCGCTTTAATGTTTAATAAGGAAATGCCATGCCCAAAAATAGCATTAGTAATGCGCTATTCGAAGAGAGAAACCCACAGGGGTCAGGAAAGACTGAGCTTTCAACTGTAACCATTAACTCTGTGCACCTTGCAGCTCATGCAAATCAA